TCTTTGCTCATGAGTGAGGTAAATAAACAACTGGTTTATTCTCTGCACGTAAACAATGTTTGCCCAAGGAAAATACCTGCTCACGTGCCCACCTGTTGAAGAAAATGCCTGCCAGCAGGCACACGTAACAGCGACTTAGCACTGACACCAGTGTCCTCAAAGTGCTGTCCTGAACACAGCAGCTACAGAGTCTGGGAAACAGTGGGAAACGTCCACCTAGGGGCTTCATCACAGCCCTCCTAAATCAGACCGCGTGGGAGCAAGTGTTCCTGATTCTGACGCACGTCGGACTTGGAGATCTAAGATGTCAGCTGAAAGAGGAATATCACCAACACTTCATCTTGCTTTCTAACATGTGTCGCTGACTTTGTAGCTATTTTAAAATGTTTCAAGGGCCATCAGGTGGCGTGGTGGTTAAGGTGCTGGACTCCCACATGGCTGACCACAGTTTGAGACCTGGACCCAGCTACTTGAACATCACACCTAGCACGTGTGTGAGAGTGCCCCAAATCCCAAGAGAATGGAGGAGAAGGGATTGTGGCATGGCCATTTTCCTTAGGGAGTGATTTCTCACTTTCTCTCGTACTGTCTGTGTCTGTCTCTGTCTCTGTCTTTCTCTCTGTCTCTCTCTGGTGAGCACACGCACCCTATGGCAAAAACCCTTTTAAAAAAAAACGTGTTTCAGCAACAGCGTGACCTGTCATCACTGAGGCTGGCAGAACAAGCGTGAGCAGGCCTTTGTTTTTCTCTCTCCTCTGACTTCATTACAACATCACTCGGTATAACTGACTGGAACGCATGGTCTGGTGCTTGTTCTAGGAAAACTCAGCTGGTTTACTAGGCATCGTTTTGTTTTGTTAGGAAGTGACCAAAGACCTCAAACTGCATCGGGAATTAAGGGTAGATAGACTCTGCGACTACTACAGTTGTCTTGTGCCCTTCGCCATCGTGCCTACAATTCTCCCCTCCCGTGTGCGGCTGCTGCAGGGAGGCCTCACTCCCGGATCCTCATCCCAGCACTCACAGACCGCAGGCCTGCAGAGTGGCTCTGACACACAGTCCTTCACTTTCCGAATGAATGTACATTCCAGAGAAGCGCTGTGAACCAGTGCTACGGTGCTCTGAGCTGGGAATGTGAGACTGCACCATAGGAACCAAAGTTTGTTTACTTATCAGACGACACACACGTGGTTTGAAGGCAGGCCATAGCTGCAGCCTGTGTACTCTTGTCACATAAACTGACCACCGCAGTCCCTTAGGGCATGAGCAGTCAATGAGAATGTTGTAACTAAGGATGAAACCAGATTTCCATACAAATAACTACATGATGATATGCCACGTTTGTGAAACGCGTGTGAACCAAATTACCTCATCACATCTTCCTCTGAAAATGCCAAACGTTCTACAGAAGGACCCTCGTGCTTCTTAAACTATAGCAGGACTGTCCCTACCCCTCGCCCCCTCTTTCCAAGGGATTCAATGATTCTTATCTGTTAATCCCTTCTCTTCTCATTTTAACTCAACTCAAAAACTCCAGATGGAGTCCCTCACTGTGCAACACTCCTCGGCCACTGTGAGCTGGGTGCAGAGGAAGACGGGCCCCACGTTCCTGCTGGATGTGACAGGAGGCAGTGCGAGGCTCTCCGCCACCAGGCCAACTGCGGAGAACCGAGAACCGGAACAGAGCAAGAAAAGGGCCAAAGACACCCGGGGGAGAAAGAAGTCAGCCCGACTCTCTCCCCAGTACTTGAAAGTACACTGGCTTGACTTGCTAACTCCACCAACTGCCCAGCTGTTTTTTTATTGACACTTCTCAAAAGCGTGGTCTATACCCTTGGTTTCCAGTGCTTCATCGCGTACTCCCTCCTGTCCGCTTGCAGCACAGCTCTCAGCTGCGAGGCTTCAGGACTCTCTGTAGCCTTTGATCTCTCGCTGTTTCTTGACCACTCCATCAGAGGAGTGCCTCTCATGGAGGAGGGAGCAGACCCAATGCCAAGGCCCTCCCTGCTTTGTAATACGTCCACTTGGTGAGGCCAAACAGCATTTCCCAGAATTCCCTTTCTGGCTAGAGTGGGCCATGACCGAGACTTCGGAGAGATCTGGAGGACAGAGGTGAAGCAGCAGCCGCCTCACAGCCCTGAGGCTCATCTGCTAGCTCAGCTCGTTGGCACACACCAGCAGGCAGGCCTCCCTCAGCTTTGCAGCGTGCTGGGGCTGCATGTGGCCAGGCCCATGAGGAAGGACTCCGGCTTTCGCAGGACGCCCACACCACGGAGAGCAGAGGCAACAAGAACTGACGTGGGTTTCAGTCTGTCATTGTGGGTCCAGACGGTTCTGACTTTTTACCATCCTTCCCCCCTGTCCTCCTGTGCTGTGGACTCCGAGCATGACCATCAGACACAACGACCCCTACAGAGATCGCAGAGCCAGGTCCACAGCGGCATAAGACCAAATCCCTGTAGTGGATCCCTCATGTATAGGAAAAGTTTTTTTTTTTAACTGAACCCAGGCTTACAAACACTTCCAGACCAATTATGTCAAAAGTGTGTTGGTGGGACCAGCAGTTAGCATAATGGGTATGTCACTGAACTCCCATGTAGCGAACTACGGTTCGAGCCCAGGACCCAGAGGCTTAAACTCATACCAGGCGCATGAGCGTGCATGCCCAAGATCCCGAGAGGAGAATAGAGGAGAAGGGATTGCGGCGTGACCATCCCCCTGGAGGGGTGATTTCTTGCTTTCTGTCTCTCTGTCTCTCTCTGTCTTTCTGGCAAGTGCACATGCCCTATAGTAAAAACCTCTACAAAAATAAATAAATAAATAAATAAATAAGCATGGTGATGAGGCCCAGACACTACGTATGTGCCAAACGCCCCCTCCCCCGAGGGGTCTCTAACACGGAGAAACAGCATCCAACCGCAAATCCTGCCAGAGTAGCACAGCATAGTTGATAGCGTTAAGGGGAAGAAATCTTGTTCTTTCCCACCTTGTGTATTTTCTCTAATTTACCTCTCCTTTTCCTTTCCATTTGCTAGAGGGTTTATGCACTCACTACGGGGCAGAGAGAGTAAGAAAGCACCCACCATGGGGGATGGTCACACCAGAATCTCTTTCCCATTTCTCCCTCCTTTCGGGATTTTGGACACACCTATACCTGCCCAGCTTGTTTCACAAGCCACAGGTCTGGAACTCAGACTTGACAGCCGGTCACGTGGGGTCTACCTGCTTAACTGCCATGCCACCAGCTGGTCCTCCTTTTCCTTTTCTATTGGAATAGAAAAAATATGTCATGACTTTTCTGACGACAAAACCCAGCCACTACTCACCTCATGGCTCAGTGCAATCTCCCTGTCTCTGGTCTTTCCTCCCCCCATTTCATCCTATCTACAAGCCCCCAAACTGACCTGGAAACGTATGCATAACATCGCTCCATGCTCAAAGGTTTTTTATTGTTGTTGTTTTTTGAGAGATTTTTGCTACAAGGTATGTGCACTCTCTGGAGAGAAAATGAAAGACAGAGAGACAGAGAGCGAGAAATCACCCCTCCCCCCAATGGGGATGGCCACACCACAATCCCTTCTCATCCCTTCTACTCCATTATCATCTTGGGATCTTGGGCACACACATGTGCCTGGTGTGAGTTTTAAGCTGCCGGGTCTGGGACTCAAACCGCACTCAACTAAGTGGGAGTCCAGCAATGTAACCATTATGCCACTGCTACTCCCCATGCTCAAAGGTTTTTTCAGCAATTCCCTGTCCCCCAAGGATAGAGTAAATCTCCTCACCTGTATGCAAAGCCCTTTGGGGTCGGGCTCCTCACCTGGCCAGCCTCTCCTTCCACATCCTTCCCAACAGAAACCTTATCCTTGAATGCATTCTGAGCCTTCGTCAGCCCAAGAAAGAGCAAAGCGGCAGTCACAGTGAAAAGGAAAAGCTGTCCCCTGGCCTCCTCGGATTCTGCCTGACCGCCAAGGCCACTGCTGGGTGACATCCCTTCCCACCCTTCACGCTATTTCTATCTCCCCTGCTCCTCCTTCTCCACCTCGCTTGCTGCCTCCCACTTTTTTTCCCCCCCTAGTTTTTGCTATAGTACACATGTGCCTTCCAGGAGAGAGAACGTGAGAAATCACCCCTGGGGGATGGCCACACTGCAATCCCTTCTTCTCACTCTCTTGGGATTTGGCGCACACATGCACACACGCCCATCATCATTTTCAAGCCACCGCATCTGGGACTTGAACAGGGCAGTCAACCATGTGGGATCCAGCACCTTAATCTTCATGCCACCTGCTGGCCTTCTGTCTCCCACCCTTAATAGGGTTTGAATTGACATTTGAATTATCATTGTATTAAAGATAGAAAAAAAGCAAAGCTCCAATTCCTTGGTACAGGTTTAATCCTCTATAAGCAGCAGCTGACCCCTTCTTTCATGTTCAATTCATGCTACTGCTACTATGACCCTATGCACAGAGCTCAAGGAGGGAAACAGTGATTTCTGACCTTTCACTACCAAAACATGGCCTAAACCAAAGGGGTTGCATGCTCTTCTCCCATAGTAGAAATTTCAAAGCCAGTTCCTGATCTGGAATACCCCGTAAGGCTGTCTCATATGCTAGAGATCCCCACAGGGTACATGAACTGGCTTTGAAATTTCCTGGCTACACATAAAGGATTTCCTTATCCGAGGAGCCTCCTTTTGCATCGTGCACTAACAAAGTTAGTGCATTCACATTCAAATCTTTCTACAAATGCCAAAAGATTGAGAAAATGGGACCAAACCACTAAAGGAGTATTTCACCCACACTTTCTTCCATGGCCCCCCTCTATCATAAGATAGTGACAGAAAAAAAGTAGGGAGCTGACACCTCCTAAGGCCTAGAGTTGAGTTTGGTTTTTTTTTCTCCTTTAATTTTTCCCTTTTTTCCTTTTTCATCACCCATTAACACACTAATGTTTATATTGAGAATATTTTCTCTAGATTTCTCCACAAAAATACTCACCCATATTTCTCTGCAAGTCCTCTGGCTTCCTCCTCTTTTACTACTCTCTGGTCTTCCAGATCACTCTTATTTCCACAGAGCACTATATCTGGGTTTTCACAATATGCATGCATTTGTAGCTGGCCTGTTAATATAAGACAAGAAAGTTTAATGTTGGGAAATCATACGATAAGCATAGGATCAACAGAAAATACATGCACAATTGTTTTGAAATGATAAATGTATATGAAGATATAAGGAAGTGATATAATGCTTTCAAAAGCACCAGTAATCCATACATCTGAATGGAAGGGCCAGCAGATGGTGTGGTGGTTAAGACGCTGGACTCCCACATGGCCGATAGCAGTTCAAGTCCCAGACCTGGAGGCTTGCTTCCTCACTTTCTTTCAATCTCTCCACCCCCTCTCCCTGGTGAGCGTACATACCCTACAGCAAATTTTTAAAAATAATAATGATGATAATAAATAAAATTAAATTTAAAAAAATTTTTTAAAACTGAGTGGAAGGATCCAGCAGTTAGTGTAATGGCTATGTTGCTGGACACCCACGTAGTCGACCACGGTTCACGTTCCGAACCCGGTGGCTTAAAACTCACACCGGGTGCGTGTGCGTGCATACCCAAGATCCCAAGAGGAGAATGGAGGAGAAGGGATTACGGCGTGACCATCCCCCCTGGGGGGTGATTTCTCACTTTCTGTCTCTATGTCTCTCTCTGTCTGTCTGGCGAGCGCACGCGCCCTACAGTGAAAACCTCTCCAAAAAAAAAAAAAAACTGAGTGGATAAGAAGAACTATGAAATGACTCCTGTCCTCAAGGATACACCCCAGTTTGTTTATATGAGAGAGTCACAGCGGGCTGGCTCTGAGGGCGCTGGTTAATCACCACGAATTGGGTGGTAAATCCCACGTGGCCAACCACAGACTCAGTCCAGCTTGATGGCATGAGAGGCACCAGGTCGTGTGCATGCAAGTCCCATATCCTGACAAGATGAGGAAGTGGAGGGAAGGGGAGTGTGGCATGGTCATGCTCCATTTCTCTCTCTCTCTCTCTCTCTTCCTCTTTTTGTCTCTTTCTCTGGCAAGTATATGTGCCTTCTCACAATTTTTTTTTTTAAAGGAGAGTTATGGAAGAATGTGCTAACTCTCCCAAGTGTGAGCACCCACATGTGTGCACACCCGCACAGAACACCTGACTTAGGGTGCACACGTGCTTGCCAAAAAGAGAGACGGGGCGAAGGGAGAAAGCATCCCCTGTCCCCCGATGGCAGATGGTCATGCTGCAATCCCTTCTCTTTTATCTCTCCCCTCTTTTGGCATTCCGGGCATACATGCACAGACACCAGCATGTTTCTCAAGCCACCAGGGTCAGGATTTGAACTGTGCAGTCCATCATGTGGGTTCCAGCTCCCTTAGGGTCAGTCCAACTCTTTTTTTTTTTCAGAATTATTTATCTATGGGACCAGCAGGTAGCGTAATGGCTATGTCATTGGACTCCCATGTAGTTGACCGCGGTTTGAGTCCCGAATCCGGTGTGAGTCCCGGATCCGGTGGCTTAAAACACTCCGGGCACATGTGTATGCATGAACAGGATCCTGAGAGGAGAAAGGGGGAGAAGGGATTGTGGCGTGGCCATCCCCCCTGGGGGGTGATTTCTGACTTTCTGTCTCTCTGTCTCTCTCTGTCTTTCTGGCAAGCGCACGCGCCCTATAGCAAAAACTTCTCCCCCAAAAAATTATTTATTTAATTCCATTTGTTATTATTATTTTTATTTTTAATTTAACCAGAGAGAGACAGAGAGAGAAAGGGAAAGCGACAAAGCAAGCCACCAGGTTCAAAATTTGAACCTTAGTTGGCCACATGGGGATCCAGAATCTTTAACCAGCATACCACCTGCTGGCCCCAGTCCAACTCTATGCTTTTTTTGTTGTTTTTGTTTTTGTTTTTGTTTTTTTGGAGAGGTTTTCTCACTATAGGGCACGTGTGCTTGCCAGGTGATGACTTACCTGGAGAGTCTCTGAATTAACTCATTTAATTCTTACCTTGACCCATTTGAAATAAGTACTATTATTATGACCGCTTATAGACAGAAATTGTGGCAAACTGAGCGTCATAAAGCCAGTAAATGGCAGAGCCAGGACTCAGTTATAGACACAATGGGCCCCAGGTCCAGACTCATAGCCCAAACCCCAGGTATGTGTGGTGGTAACAGGACACAGAGCCACTTTTGAAACCAGAAAGGTCTTATGGTAGAGGAAACCATGAAGCAAGTCGTGAGGGTGGATTTTGGAGGATATTCTGGAGTGTGGGAACAGCATGTGCAGTGACCCAGAGGAAAGGAAGGGCACACTTTACTGAAAACATTGCACAGTTCAGCCTTGCCTGGGAGACTTTGTTGCCCAACTTGCTCCTTCAGGCAAAAGAGTGTCCGCTACCGCAGGGTACCAGTGTGGACGCCCAGTAAATGCTCGCCTTTCTCCTGATGAGGGATGATCAACACCGCTTCATAATGAGAAACTAAATTGTCAACTCTCTTCTGGTTAACCATGATAAAAGATAAATTAGGCCCTACGCTGTGACATCTGTCTTAATGTGAAAGTGTGGGCTACTTTAATTTCATTCTGCGGAATGGTAAATAAGAAATACGACTTTATTTTCCTCCTTTGGGAGATTAAGTATTTAGCTTAGTGAAGCTCTTTTGTGATTCAATAGAAATAAAAATTCTTGGGACCAGCAGGCGGAGTAGTGGTTAAGGTGCTGGACACTCCCACATGGTCAACCACGGTTTGAGTCCCGGACCTGGTGGCTTGCTTTCTTACTTTCCCTCTCTCTCACTCTGTGTCTCTCTCTGGTCAAATTAAAATAAAATGAATGAATAAATAAAATAAAATAAATAATTCTTTTAAAAAAAGAAATAAAAATTCTTGGCACCAGCAGTTAGCATAATGGCTATGTAGTCGACCACAGTTTGCGTCCCGGACCCGGTGGCTTAAAACTCAATCTGGGTGCTTGTGCATGTGTGCCCAAGATCCCGAGAGGAGAATGGAGGAGAAGGATTGTGACGTGGCCAACCCCCCAGGTGGTAATTTCTCGCTTCATGTCTCTCTGTCTCTCTCTGTCTGTCTGGCAAGCACATGTGCCCTATAGCAAAAACCTCTCATAAAAAAAAGAAAAGAAAAAAAGAAAAGAAAAGAAATATAAATTCTCAGGTCCCACCCCAGATGCCCAGATGTACACTTCTGAATCAAGAAGGCTGGAGTTCTGGAGTTGGGACCGGAGGTTTGTAGTTTAACCAGCCCTCTGGTGATTCAGATGCACACGCACTCTAGAACCACTAAGCAAATATATTAAATCAGGGGGTCCCAACCTCCATGCCACAGGCCGAACCGGTCATTATTATTATAATGTAATACAAATAGAGAGCACAATGAATGTAATGAGCTTAAATCATCCAGAAACCATTCCCAACACTCCAGTCTGTGGAAAATGAGCTTCCATGAAACCAGTCCCTAGGCCAAAAACGTTGGGACTGCTGAATTAAAGCATTTATAAGAACCGTAAGTATGGGCCAGCAGGTGGTGTGGAAGTTAAGGCACTGGATTCCCACATGACTGAGTCCACGGTTCTGGTCCCAGACCTGGCACCTTGAAAATCACACCAGGTGTGTGTGTGTGTATGTGTGTGTGCACATGTCCCAAATCCCAAAAGGAGAATGGAGGAAAAGGGACTGCAGTGTAGCCATCCCTGCTGTCGGTGATTTCTCACTTTCTCTCTCTCTCTCTGTCTCCCCAGAGAGTGCATGTGCCCTATAGCAAAAACTGGATAAAAAAGAAAACTGTAAGTTTTATCAATAATAAAGGTTAATATGTTTATTCTGGGAAATATAGGAAGTGTGACTATCAGGGATTGTTTTGTTTTCTTTTTCAGTCTTTTTTCCACATACTAATTATGAAAAGTAAACTAACCAGTTACTTTAAAATCTCACTAGGAAAAAGCACTGCGCAACTGGAGGTTGTGTGTGTTAAGGAAAAGCTACCAGGAATTAGAAGGTGGAAAAAAACCTAATTTGTCACTGAAATTTTCAGAGAGGCCATTTTCCATTTTTCTGCCAGGTTTTAAAGAATAAGCAGAAGGGCCAGCAGGTGGCATGGTGGTTAAGGCACTGGACTTCCACATGGCCAACTGCAGTTCAAGTCCTGGACCTGATGGCTTGCTTTCTCACACTCCTTCTCTCTCTTTCTCTCTGTCTCTCTTTGGTCAAGTTGAAGAATAATAATAATTAATAAAATAAAATAAATAATTCTTTAAAAAGATAGTATTAGAAAAGAATAAGCAGGGGGACCACCAGTTGGCATAGTGATTACATCTCTGGACTCCCATGTAGTCGACTGCAGTTCGGGTCCCAGACCTGGTGGCTTAAACATGCCAGGCACTTGTGTGTGCCCAAGATCCTGAGAGGAGAATGGAGGAGAAGGGATTGCAGAGTGGCCACCCCTCCCCCCGGCGGGTGATTTCTCACTTTCTGTCTCTCTGTCTCTGTCTTTTGAGCAAGCACATGTACCCCATAGGGAAAAAGAAAAACTCTCCAAAAAATAAAATAAGCAGAAATCTACTTGCTTTTTAAAAATAGGGATGGAGGTAGAACTGGCATTTCACATAGAAGGAAGAATAGGAATGAAAATAGAGAAGCAAAAATACATAAAATACATACTTTTGGACTCGTGCACCATCAATGTGAGGCTATAGAGGAAAATTTAGAAATGGAGACTACTTTAAAGTTCCCTTAGAAAGCAGGCAGACCCCAGGGGAGGGATGATGCTTAGACCTCGGAACTCCAGGAGACAGGGAGCGAACCCAGCACTCCCCTTTACCCTTCAGATTGCCACCCAGGCCCAGGAGCCCAGCTCACCGCTCGGTCTCCTAAACTGAAGGGCCTCGCATTTCACCTGCAGTGCTCTTCCCAAGAGGGCACGGAGAGACTCAGAGTCAAGACCGAGAGTCTGCAAAGAGCAAAGGGAGGGTACACATGGCTGTCCTCTCCCAGCCAGTCAGGGCCAGGAGTCAACCACGTCCTTAGTGCAATGCTTTCTCAGTTCGACCTTGATGCCATACACATGTGAGAGTTTAA